AAAGAATTAGATAAAAATTCCACAACCTAAATTAATTGTCTCAATCTTTATGATTAATGAATCAATCAGAAACAATATAAATCTATATACATAACATGACGGGATGGTATAAATGACGCATTATAGAAATATATCTATAAATAGTCATAGATTACATGTAGTGCTTGTTTGTTTGAGTGTTAGGTAGAGTATTGGACTGTGAATTGGGCGACCCAGGTTCGATTTCTGCATGCAAAGGTCACTTTCATTGTGATAAATCATGAAATCCTTTCTACAGTCATTAACACTGTACCTCTGCTCTGGCATGTACAGAAGTAATATCAGTTCCTTGCGAAAGTGAAGGCAACTAGTACTGGTTAACTGCTAGACAGCCTGCCAGGAACGATGCAGTGGCTGGACTGTGCTCTGGAAAATTCAGTGTGACTTACTGCAGTGATATGGAGTGAAAACTACCACCACCACCACCACCATCTTGTTTGTTTGATTTATTGGGTTTAATGCAGTTTTGAAAGGTCAATAAATCTTTGAGAATAAACTTAACAGGAAGAGTCGAATAGGTCATCTGACCATGGCATCGCAAGTTTGAGACCTAGCCATAGCACAGGCTTTTCAGTGATGAATTGATCAATTAATCTCACTGACATCTTCCACACTGTTTAAAATGCTTTTAAGTGGAGAAGTTGGAACTCACTTGCAAAGATCATGCTTTATTATGTCCCAGTCTATTGTCAAAGTAGTTTACACATACATATAACTACTGGAAAAAGCATAACTTTGTCTTGAGCCAAAGATTTCAAATAGAATATTTACAAAATTCAAATATTCTGTCCTAAAGTTAATAGTCCCTATTATTATCTTAAACAGGACATGTTGTACATGTATACATAAAATAACTTGAAAGTTATGCTTGGTCACTGCTTTCCAATGATTTCCTTTTTAAGCCATTATCATTCAAAATGTAATCAGTATGCATATGTCGTGATTAAATCAATCCCTCTTACAAAATCACGTTTTAATTTTGTATACAAATACAAAATAGGAAAATCCATCAGTACTTGGTAGAGATGAATAGAATATACAAGTTTACATGTTTTAAATCTTACTGTGCAAATCTGATTTTATTTACTTTTCACTACTGTACAAATAAGTAATTTAAAGTAGCAATAAAATACATACGGACATTTACCAAAAATACATGGGTCGCTATTGAAATATCGAAGGAGGTCCATATTTCACAAGTCTGATAACACCAGATGATTGACATGTGAACAAAATAATCTGCATACTTCATTTTTAAGCACTGATTAAAAACAATTATGAATCCAATTCTGGTCCAAAACAAAATTCCCTGTTTTAATGTTTATCAAATATTTAAGAAAGAATGTTAGAAGGCAGTATCTAGATAATATGTTCTCAAAAAGTTATTATTTCTCCACAACTCACTGTCAACTTCCTCATATAAAGCACGGAGTCAATACAAGGGGATAATGCATAATAATAATAGAAGTAGCCCAATCTATAAAAGAAAATTGTAATTTAATGCAGTAGCTTAAAACATTCAAAGTCTGTATTCTAGGTTATAAAGAAGTTTTCAAATCTTGGGTATCTGATTGGTCAAAACTGGCTCAGAGTGTGGACTGACCAGTCAAAATACCTGAGATTCTGGAAAAAAAATTCTCAGAATTTTTTATTTATAACCTTGAGGTCTAATCTAATTGAACAAAAGGTTGTCTCAGACTAGTTCACAGTGTTCTGATAAAAAATTTTGAATGCTACTTTCAATATGTAAGAATATTTTGAATTTTAGAAAACATCACAATTTCTTATTGGTTACTTGATTAAGCACCGTTATTTGAGCAGAAATTTGCATTAAAACAATGTTTCTTTGGCTATATTTCTCCCCAGTTATTGCAAGATGTTCATTTTACTCAATAATGATATTAAATTGCCTTCATATTCAAAAGGAGCATTTCTGTGCAAGACAAACTAGAATATAATTTTATTTATGGTATTTCCTTACACAAGATTTTCTTTCAAGATGCTTACACAGTTGATTTTGATAAAAACTTTTTTATTGTAAAATGTGTGCATAATAAACTTGCACTTCTCTACAAGGGAACAGCTCCTTGTTAGTTGAAGAAGTTTTAATATAAGCCTGAACATTTAAAATGAACATTATTTCCTTTTTGGGAAAAAACATTCATCATTTTCAAGGGAAATTTTCAAATATGTACTGAACAGTACCAAGGTCTGATGGCAGGAATGTGCGGTCTGTTGGCATGAATGTGCAATGCGATGGCATGAATGTGTGATAGCATGAATATGCAATGCCATGGCATGAATGTGCAATGTGATGGTATGAATGTGCCTAGAAAATGGCATGAATGTGCAATGCGATAGTATGAATGTGGGATGCAATGGCATGAATGTACGATGCGATGGCATGAATGTGCGATGCGATTTCATGAATGTGCAATGCGATGGCATGAATGTGTGATGCGATGGCATGGATGTGCAATGCGATGGTATGAATGTGCCATGCAATGCGATGGCATGAATGTGTGATGCGATTGCATGAATGTTCGATGCGATGGCATGAATGTGCAATGCGATGGTATGAATGTGTAATGTGATGGCATAAATGTGCGATGCAATGGCATGAATTGCAATGCGATAGTATGAATGTGCAATGCTATGGCATGAATGTGTGATGCAATGGCATAAATGTGCGATGAGATGACATGAATGTGTGATGTGATGGCATGAATGTGTGATGGCATGAATGTGCAGACAGGCTGAGGGTTAAATCTATTTAGATTAATAAGTCTGGTTAGAATGAATGGATAAGCATGCTGGCTATGGAAAATCTGACGACCATCACACTGCCATCACTTTCACCAAAATTCTTGTAAAAGAGACACTCAAATTTTCTTGATTAATACAAAAAAACGTTCTCCCACAAATTAAACATTTCTCATTTATTGACATTCACATTCTTAATTTTTTGGTTGTATATATGTGCTAAAGGAATTTATATTGTAGTAAGAAATTAAATATATCTTTAAAGGACATATTTAGGTTTAATAGGTAATTTACAAAGATCTTGAGCTATTCTTTTGAGATGACAAGTTCAGACAGATTCTTTTCACAACAATTTTAAATCAAACATCAAATAATCACGTTTTTGTTGAACTTAATATCATTTACAGATACTTTGGATCCTGAAATATGTCTTTGTGAAAGGATAACGGCAGGTCTAATATAGTTTAATCAAGTCCCGATCGTCGTGGCTTTCAGCCAATATCAACGAAAAATTTCTCAATCAGAGATTCCTTTTATAACTTCGTAAATTGCAATGCTAGATAATATTTCTGCTGATCCTTCTTCATTGTCAATTTTCAATCTTCTATAATAACAGATATCTATTATGTAAAGAATTTTCTCCGGTATTCAATTTAGGTATAATAATATCCCACACATTCAACCTTTATGAAATGCGTGTTTACAATATTATGATATACTTTTTTCAAATTGTGTCATTGGGCAGGTTTCCAAACTTCCAATTTTATCTTTTGTGAAGAATAAGAGCTCTTTGTAAAAAGATTATTTTAAAAGAACCCCCCCCAATGACACCGTATGGGGTTTGCTGAAATAAACTTGATAAACATAATTGCTTCTTTTTTTTAAATAAAACAAATTTTCTAATGTTTATAACAACAAAAAAAAATTTTCTTTAACTAATAATTGTATAATACTAATTTATCTCTGTATTATATGAGTGTTTCATCAGTATATCATTACGTATTATATGAAGACAGTTGCAAACCATAGCATTAACAACGTAAAGTAATGAACAAAACAATGAAGATGTGCATGCTTATATAAAATTCCATTATTAACATTATCTAGTATAATTTTTTGTAAATTTCTCAATTTTAATAATTTTTTTTAATTCATTCAACTTAAACTATATAATAAACAAACTTTAGTAGATAAATAAAACTAGGACAATATTTTATATTTTTCAAGTAAACAAGCAAATTCGTTGAATTTATATTCCCCGCCAAGTACTGGTTATTATTACACAACAACTGAAGACATAAGGCTTTATTAATATATTAATCATGGCATAAACAGTAATATTCTTTGAACTTGATGAATATTCAGGGCAATAACAGAGCCATAACTTTGTGTTAAATAGTAAAATCTGGAAATGCCAATGAGATGTATGCATACTACATAACTAATCAAGGGCCATAAATCTGAATTATAAGTATCTGACCGGAACAAGGTGACTATATGCACATCTCCTCTTAGTATCCCATAAAGTTTCATTGAATTCCAGCCAGTAGTAGCAGAGAAGTAGCGAGGAAACAAATATTTTTCTATATGAATACTGCATAACTAATCAAGGGCCATAACTCTGAGTTAAAGTGTCTAACGATAAAAAGCCGACGATATGCGCATCTCCTCTTGGTATTGAAGGTTCCCATAAAGTTTAGTTGAATTCCAGCCTGTAGTTGCAGAGAAGTAGCGAGGAAACGATTTTTACTCCATATGCATACTGCATAACTAATCAAGGGCCATAACTCTCAATTAAAGTGTCTGACCGGAACAAGCCGACGATATGCGCAATCTCCTCTTGGTATTGAAGGTTCCCATAAAGTTTCATTGAATTCCAGCCAGTAAGTTGCAAGAGAAGTAGTGCGGAAACGATTTTTACTCTATATGCATACTACATAACTATTCAAGGGCCATAACTCTGAGTTAAGGGTCGGACCGGAACAAGCCGACGATATGCGCATCTCCTCTTGATATTGATGATTCCCATAAAGTTTTGTTGAATTCCAGCCAGTTTAAGTTGCAGAGAAACTACTCCGGAAACGAAATTCGGACGGACGATAGATGGACGGACGGACAACGCCAAAACTACTCATATCCCCCCCTCCCGATTCCATCGGCAGGGGATAATTAAATCTGATTATCTATTGCTAAATTACCTGAGATTGGTGCTTCGTCTGAAAGTGGTGCAATGCCATCAGAATCCCCGCCCCTGTGCTGTTGCCGATTCATGGCTCGCTGCCTGGTTGCAAGCCGTGCCCTTGACAACTGAGGTCCAGATCTGAAACATTCCAGGTAATCATTTTCAACTCTTCTATAGCATATAATCATATACGTTATCTTAATTAACTAATCTTTTTCCAACCAGTGTATTAAATTTAAATAATAAATACATGTATATTGTTTTGGACAATTTCATATTGATCGATGTCTTCAGTGATAAAACATTCAATAAATAGAGGATATTGAATGAGTGTAAGTTCAATACTGAATTTATTGCACGAGTTGAATAAAATTATATTATGCGAGCCTCTGGCGAGCATAATATTATTTTATTCAACGAGTGCAATAAATTCAGTAATTAACTTACACGAATTTAATATTCTATTTATCACAAACCCAAAATAAAGACCGTTTAAAGTGAAATAAGAGTCATTTTTAATTGACGCGCCTATAGTATAACGCTAACATTTAGCGCGTCTTTACGCTATGTTTGTATAACGCTAATGACGTCACATCAAAATATATGAACGTCCGTGCAATACCATATTTACGGAGTCGCAAAATCGGCACTGGTGTGTGATAAATGACATTTCCTCCCTATCTACAAGAGTTTTTAATATAGAACCTATATGCATTCAAAGTTATTATGACTGTATAAAAGATTCTTGTATATGGAGCTTCAAAATAAATTTTATGAAAAATAATAGCAAAAGTACTGGTACACAACAATTACATTAAATTGAGGTCCAAGAATTCAAAATGACCATTTATTTTACAATTAGGAATAAACTTAAATTAAATCCACAGCAATAATTTGACTTCACATCAAAAAGCAGTAACTACATTATTATCCACCAACATGTTTTTACAATGAAGTCCATTTGTAATATTCACATTTTTTTAGGTATCTGCATACAGAAAATTAAATAAATTATTAATTTAATCCACCCATTAATGAAAGGCAAACACCACTTTTATGCTACCTTTACTTAAGGATGATAACACTGCCAAGATTTTGTTGTTGTTTTTTTAGTTTAAATATAAACAAACGACCATAAATACATAAAAATGTCAACCTCTGATCACCTTACTGTAATAAAATGGCTGACAACAGTTGATCTTTAGTACCATTCCTTATCTCCAGGTACAGGAGAGTTTATTGTCACCTCCTCATGGTTTATTACTGCACAAAATAAGGTATGGAGCTTTATTGTTAATCAATCAATTATTCACCCTTAACCTGCTGAAATTTGTGTAATAGACTTGTCCAGCTTCCATTTATGGAACTGTCCATCATCATTTTAGGGGATGTCAAGATGAAAATTCCAAGTTACTCAGCCAGTGGTATAGAGCCTGGTCAGACTGTACAGAATATGCAGGCAGGCCTAACTCAATACCAGTGACAAAGGCTAGTCTAAGCACTAATTGGTAAGGTCAGTTTTATCAATATTCATCTGGGTTTTTTTCTGTTTTTTTTTCCATATACTTTTTGCAACTGACGTTTTACATTGCATCGGTATAAATGTACCTCAGAATATTATATGAATTATTTCCCTTTTTAAAAACTGATATTAGCATGAACCATATCAGTATTCAGTAAGTTCATGACTTCTTCAAGTCTAATTTATTTTTACATCAATCTTGGTTATTGTTAACTGTAATAAATTGATATTTAAATTAGAAAAACCTGTCAAGGTGCTGAATGCTGTTATTCTTCAGTTTTTGTATGATCTAGTCAACAATATTTACCTTGTGGACAGAATAAATCATAGGGCCATATAAGTATGTCATTCAAAATGAAAAATTTTATGATCTTTATTTCTTATTTTCAATGTATGGCAATGTGTTCCTATTTTTTAACATACCAGTATTTATATGTTCACCAGTTCAAGTAAATTATTAACTTAAACTGAACGTTTATTTTCTTTTCCTTGACCTTTGTCAATTTACAATATGATAAGATATATTTAATTTAGCCCAAAGATTCTTACATTAGGTCGTATCAATATTTTATCCAATATCTACAGTTAACGATCCAATTTTCTATACCATACTACCAACAATTGGTTTACTATATTCAATCAAGTGTTTCTACCTATACCTTGATATTAACAATGAATTGCAAAAAGTTATAAAATTATTTCAATATGCAAATACCTGCCATAGACAATTAAAAGTTCTTAATCCTTAACCTATTTGATTTCCTGAATGGACATGTCCCAACTTACAGGTAGGAACAGTCAATTGTTAATTAAGGAATATTTTGTATTTTATTACACTGAAAATTTGAAAGTCAGTCAGGCAACAGTATTTAGCCTGGCCAGACTGCATGGATGTGCAGACAGATCTGGCTCTAAAACAGTGCAGTAAAAGACAAATGGCTTTCAGTACAGTACTCTTATGATTAAAGATCTACTTAAATATAAAATATAGATAATTTCATTCAAGTTAGATTTATACAGGATTGAAAAATATCAGAAATAAAATTTTAAGCATGATATTCAGTTAATACACATAAACTGAAAAGGAACCATAGTTAAATGTTATCGAATGGGAGCACTGAGCATATAAAAAATCCCAAGTTAATTTTGCAGCAAATATTCAAGCTGAAATACAATATTTTCTAAAATGTTTAAATTTTGTTTTCAAAGATTATTCCTATGTTTTAACATCTGCCAAAATTCAACAACATTCAATAGTAATCTGTAATTACGATGTAATTGTTTTTTGATGATGTCACAAAGTGCGTCTTAAAGTTCTTACATTTAAAAGTTTGGAAAAACTTTCTACTTGCTTCACTAAATATCAAAACAAAATATTTCATCAGTCCTTAACATAACATTTTAAGTCCCCAAATGTTATAATGAAGAGCAATTAATCTGAATGAAGGGAGGTAACTATGACAGTCATAAGTTTTCACTAAATGCAATTAAGTCAATAAGTAACTTAGTATTACTTAATATTAGGAACAAATTTCCTACCATACCTGATGCATTTTCTAATTAAACAAAAATAGTCTGCACAGAAAATAATAATGTATATAACTAACTTCAAGAAGAAATACTTCAGAACTGAACATTATTTCCAACCAATATTAATTTTAATCCTTATTTCAATATTCACATCTGTATGCAGTATAAACTTATGATATGATATGATAATGTCACGGTGAAAAATCCTAACAAATGATCAATATCGGGTACTGTAATATAATTCTTAGTTACCCAGTTCCCGACATGACAAGTATTGACGCCTTGTGGCGTAGTATTGAGAATAGTGAATCAATAATGGTAACATGTGGCTCAGCAATTTGTGACAAACTTCACACAACCATATAGATTTAAACAATAGTTTTGTAAGATTGGCTAGATTAGAGTATACATAATGAATAGCATGTCAATTTAATTCACAGATGACGGTGTGTGTGTGGTTTGGGTGGGTGCGGGTGAGGTGGACATGGAAAAAAAAACAATCCGAAACAAAACTTTTTATTACGAATCAACAGTTGTTGTAATTACTGTACGTGACTAAAAACTTGATCAGTTTACATGTTTAAGAATATTTATCTGAGGCAAAAGAAGCCTTGAATTTCTGCTTATGCCTGCAATTTCTAGGAGGGGAAATTATATCATCTCTTAAAACGTTTTGTAAATATTATATTTTATTCTGGTACTTTTGGAGATATTTCTCAAGACAATTTTATGAGAATATTGTTTGAGATGTTTTTGTTCAGAAACATCTCAGTATCTCATGTCAGGATCCTCAGCACTTAAATTTCAGTTAAGTGTAAATATATGTATTTTAGATCAATCATGACGGAAGCTTGAAGCTCATTTGAACCAGTCTTAAGCCAGATTCCTGGAACTAAGCAGTACCGATGTCATATTCGGGCTTTAACCCACAATGCCAGGGTTGTGAGGCAGACACCTTAAACACTAGGCCACTGCTTCTTTATTGCTAATAAAATAAAAGATTATGCACGCTTCTTTAACCCTTACATAATATTTGTATATTTGACATGCACTTTTTAAATCTAAACCTGTTCAAGAGATTTCAATCTAATCAAAATTTGAAATATTGACCTGCCATTAGCCAAAAAACTGCTTCATTGTCCCTTACATTGGAAGTTTTAAAATGGGTTAAAAGGAGTTTAAAAACAATTTTTAAAGTAACTATTTAATGACCTAAAAACCTTTTAAAATGCCTATTACATGCAAATTGCTGAATGAAAATTAAGAAAATTTTAAGTCACACTATGGTGTAAGCAAATTTTATCCATGTTTGTCATACCCACAAAATAAATAAAGTAAAAATCTGCACACTTAGCTGTTACCAAGCATTGCTCGGATATAGCAATCACACTAGTTTTATAATTTTAAAACTTGTCTTCATAATTATTTGAATTCAACTTGAAATTTTTAATTCAGTATTCAATGTAACACAATATAAATATTTTCTTTAAACTTCTAGAATATTATACAATATTTTTCTTTAAACTATCTTAATTGGACCTTAAGTTAAAGTTTAACTTTATGCTGTCCCTTTACTCAACGAAATAAGTTAAATATAATCAACGAAATAAGTTAAATATCATCAACAAAATAAGTTAAATATCATCAACGAAATAAGTTAAATATCGCTCAACAAAACAAGTTAAAGATCATTAACGAAATAAGTTAAATATACCTCAACGAAATAAGTTAAATATCATCAACGAAATAAGTTAAAGATCACTCAACAAAATAAGTTAAAGATCACTCAACAAAATAAGTTAAAGATCATTAAGCTAACTGAATTTAGTATTTTATGTCAAAAGATTATTCAACAATTCAATTTTTTTATATCAACTTCTCAATATATACCATACCTCCATTTTTTTCATATATTATAATATTTCCTTTTTTCGAAACGAAAAATTCTATGTGGCACAAAAATTACAATTCTATTTTCATTTATCAAAATCTTAAAATCCTGAACAATAAATGGAATGTTGCAGTGGCAAGCTGGCCAACTTCTCGCAAACAATTCCCGATGAAGTCCTATGATGACCTTAAATACACGTTCGATTTAAAACGATACTGGTTTGTATTATTCTTATATTAAAATACTTTATTGAACAACTTGATTTTAGTTCAAACAGTAGTTTGGTAAGTCTCCAAGTTTTTACGGAGCCTTTAGCACTATTCTCGTATTTCCTTTTAAATTAAGAAGCCTGTTTATCACTTGTGTCTTTTCATTTTCTAGCAGTTTCAATCAATATTCGAATAATTTTCTCTCCTGTTTCCATTCACCTCTCCACTCGAAAACCATTGTGAAACTTAGTAAATAACATTAGCATATAAAGAGACAAACAAAAACCGGATTGAAAATCAATTGGTTAATTTAAATCCTGTGAAATCTTCAGGGCTAAAGATTTTAATGTTGGGCTAATTCAAACTGCTTAACCATGAAATATTTTAATATTATGGCCAGATCCTTTCTTGTATATGATTTATGTTGTAACCTACTTTATATATTCATTTATATCTTGTTCTAAATCTGTAACGTTGATTATGAACTTATGGATTTGTGATTCAACAATACAAAACACATACCTTTATTATTCCATATAGCAAATGCCAACACCTACACGCATTTCATATTTTACTTCTTAACTAGCACAATTAAATCCATTCACAAAAAAACCATATTGTTGAAATGTTTAATTATATAAGAATTCATAAATTTTGCTTTTTAAATAATCATATCTTTTTTTAAAATAATCATAACTTTTTTTAAATAATCATAATATGGCATTTTCAAATGCAATTATTGCAATAACATTTAAAAGAACAGACTGAGAGAAAAATTTTGAAAAGAGAAAAAAATTATATTTTCCTTCTCTTACACAATATTTCTTTCAAATCTTTTACCAAAAATGGGTTAAGTTTAAATAAATCATTAATGCCACGCATTGAACTGATAGCTTGCATAAAAATAAATCTTTTCAAGACAAGTTTGGTGTTATTATTTTGTACAAAAGAATTTTACCATTATTTACATAGGTATGAGCCAATTAAGCCTTTACAACCGTAACCTTGGTTTGAAATACGCTAAAACCTTAGCTAGCATAGAATGACAATACACCTATATCTTATCATTAAAGTATTGATAAAGTTCGACCCATATCAATCTTTTTGAAAATGATTATCGTTTATTTGAAGAACAACCTGTCTTATTTTCTTTCTTCAATCAAGCAAAGCTTTCTATTTAAACTCTGCACATATTTGGTAATACATTATCATCATATATCAGAAATACATTAACATTTTTTTTTCACAAAAAGGATGAAATAAACTTCTAAATTTCAATACAATAAAGGAATCAGAATGGATTTTTTATGCTTGGGAATCAATTCCAAATTGTATTTTGCTTAAGTTCAAATTACCATGAAAAAGATTTTTGACATAAGGATAATTTGTTTTAAATGGCAAGTCTAAACATTAATCCATAATAATATACTCCACTGTCACCTGCAGATCAACTTAAAATATAATATTATATTATTCCAAAATTACACTTGTATTTGCTTAATTACTAAAACTGCCATATGAATGTATTACATTATTTTTTAAAGTTACATACAGCTTATGCTACCAATAAAAGTGTGCAACACTAAAATAGTGTAATGTGAGAAAAAGCTAGCCATAGTTGTAAACTACTAAATGACAATATTTGCTGGATTTAGCCACAATATGTATTAGCATTTACTGAACAGAATCTAATTGTTCATGACAACTGTACCAGTAATTACCTATTCTCAAAAAATAACTGCCAACATCTCAATAGTGATCAAATACATTGGTAAAAGAGGTCAAATGTCTTAAAAAATGTGTGTTATTTGTACAGCAAACTCTGTCATACCAAGGGTTTTAAATGCAGGCTTTCAAGTGGCCAGTAACAAAAAAGTAGGGATAAAAGTAGGAATTTTTTTGTAAAAAAGTAGGGAAAAGTAGGGATTTTCAGAGCCTAAAAGTAGGGAAAGTAGGACTCTCTACTCACCATTTTTCCAAAGTAAAATGAACAAACTAAAAGCAACTTGCCCTACTGATCTAAAACCTAGGGAGGCAAGTAATAATGTAGGATAGATAAGCATACCTTGCAGGCAGACTTTCAAGTGCCTCCTGAAGCACTTGCAATTCTTCTTTTGGATCAATATCAAATGAATCTTCTGATCCTTGGTTCGTGGCAGCAACATCTAGGTTTTCCATCAGATCTTGACTAGTTCCAACACCAATAGACTTGGTTTTAATGAGAGGACTTAAGTGGTTTTTAATGTCTGACTTGTCTTTCTGTTGTTCTCCTTCACTGTTTGTTATTTTTAAATCTGATGATTGCCCATCATCACAAATGTCAATGGCATCTGGTTGTCCAGCTGAGTCATTGAGAGAGCCATTAATGTTTTCAGGCCTCTCATCTTTTCCAGACATGTCATCAAGACCTTTGTCTTCAATTTTATCAATATCTGATTGTATTGAACTTTCATTTTGATTCCCTGCTACATTTTGGAGCAAGCCAGATGCTGCTGGTTCACTTACTGAACTATTTTCATTCTCCAAAGTTTGACTATGATCTTTTTCTTCCATATGTTCCTGACCATTGCTATCTGGCATTAAGTTCATGTTTAAATCATCTTCATTCTGTGTATCTAATGCCTGAGCAGAATCTACAAGATTACGATTGTATTCACCCATATTATCTGCCATACCAACAACATTTTGATTTTCATCAACATAAGGATCTTTTTTCTCCCCATTGTCCTCATTGTCTGAACTTGTATCCATTTTGTCAACACCATTTGTAGGACCTGTGGCACCTTTTAACGTGTCAGATATATTTCGTGAAGTATCTGTTTTACTTTTGTCTCTGCTTTCTGATTCATCTGAACTATCAGAGTCTATGCTTTTGCCCTCCATCTCTAATTCTTTATACTCATTTTCCTCCGTCAGTTGTTTCTCAATATTGTCACTTTTATACCTATTTTCATCACCACCACAAATGTTTGTTTCTTCAACACCAACTGGCTCTTCTTTAACACATATACTATTTTCCTTATCTCTCTCATTTGATACACTATCATCCTCTGAAATTGTTACTGTTTCCTTATTTTCCAGGACTTCCAGTGTTGGAAGAATATTTACAACATCAAAATCTTTTTTATGTTCAACACCATCTTCCATTGATAAACTTATCAAATTCCCAGAAAGTATCTCATCAGGTTCATTTATTGACTTTTGTTCATTTTTCTGATTCACTTCAATATCCTTATGACTAGAAAGATCATCAAAACTAATGTTATCATTATCTTGTTGCATTTCAGGAAAGGACTTAGCTTCCGTGACATTCAAATTATCATTAAAAGATTGAACATTAACCTCAGGTTTGCTTAAAACAACTGTTTCATTTTCAACTATCTTGTCTTGATAACAAACCAATTCTGGTCCACTTTCATTTGTTATATCTTCATTTCTTAATTTCTGAATTTTCGGATCTTCATTTATATTTACACATGACTCAACTTTAACACTTTCATCATAAATTTCCTTTGCGTGCTTGATTATATCACTTATATAGTTTTCAACTTTAATTTCATCACTAGGTAATACATCTAATTCATCCTTGCTACCTTCTTGATCTTTGGCTGTATCAGTGGCAAGTTCAGTAAGATCACTAAGGAATTCTTGATTAAAATTATCTTTCTCATTGTCATTCACTTTTGGTCTATTGACAGGTGTAGTATTTACATCATCCTCGTCCATATTTTGATTGTCAATGTTTTCTATTTCCAGAGTTGTTGGATGAGTAGCAACAACAGTTTTAACAGTTTCCAAATCTGGGATATCAGCAGTATGAGGAATATCATAGGGAACAAAGTTTTCATTATATGTGGGAGTAACATCAGATAACTGTTCTTCCTTATTGCTTTCTTTTGTGTCACTTTCTTTAACATTATGTTCATCACATGAATCACTTAATGAGTCTTCAGACATTGGTTTTTCTGACCTGATAATGTAAGCTGGAAGACTTTGAGTTAACCTATCAGAAGGTTGTTCTCCCTCTAAAGAATCAATGCTTATATTCAAATCTAATGAATCTTCTGAAAAGTTCTCATTATCAGTTTCAGCATTCACTCCAGTCTTTTCATCATTACTTTTAGTGTCACATAAATTGTCTGTGATGTCTGAAACTGATTTAGATTTTTTAGGTGGAACTTCAGAATCTTTTGACTTCTCACTATCAACTCTTTCTCTTTTCCCTAAAACAACATTGTCAGTATTTTCAGTAACCAGTGATTCACTTGTTTCCATGGATACATTTTGAAGGATTGAGTTTTCATTTAGGTCCATTTTAGCGCTTTCATCAGTGTGTTTGTCAGTATTTACACTCATCTCTGGTTCAGCCATATCATTACCACTTTCATGAGACATTTCCTCTGAAGATATGTACATATGCACTGGTTTTCCATTTTTACTAATTGCTTCCTTCATTTCAACATCACTATCTAAATTGTCAAGTTCAACATTACTTTCGTTTACTTTTGCTGCTTCAATATCCATTTCATTTATATCATTTTCAATATCTGCTTTATTGGTATCATTTGTCTTCATTTCTTCTTCAGTATTCACCATAGAGTCATCTACTGATACAGATGTTGTTAAAAATGGAGGTACTTTATTTGAATTAGAAATTCCTGTTTGTAATTCTGAATTCATTATATCAGTATAATCATCCAGAGCTTGAGATGTTCTATGGGCATCAGGAGCCGAGTGGCATCTAAAGTCATCATCAATGAAATTTGCTCTGCCCTTTTTCTGCCTTTTCTTAACCACATAGCTGGTAGTCTTATTTTGTTCATTTTTAATTTCTCCCATATCAGATTCCTCATTTTCAGCGACAGATTCTGGTACACTTGCAAGACTTGTTGCACTTGCCATCTGTCTAAGTGGTGAGGTTCTGACAATGTTTGATCCACTGACACCAAGTCTTTCAGCCGACAATGATCCAGTTAGTCTGCCTGTTGGTGAAACAGCACCAGCTGCTCTTGTTGGAGGAGAAGCTGCACCACTCTGTCTCGTTGGCGGAGATAAAGCTCCACCTAACCGAGAAGATGGTGAATTAGCTCTATTTGGTCCCTGAACTTTATTCTTTTCAGTTGTAACTTTCAATGCATTTCTATCATGTTTGTCACCTTTGCCCTTATCATCTTTCACATCCTTAGGTTTTGGTCCCGGTTTTGATTTTTGGTCCCTTTGTGAAGCACTTCCAGGTCTTTTCTTAATGTCAGCAATTCTACTTGGAGCTGGACTGGTCCTTTTTCCTGTTACTCTTTGAGGAGATTCACTTTTTGTTACCCTTGCTGTTCTATCAAAACCTGTTCTTGGTTTCAATTCAGTAGTTCTATCCCTTAAAACTTTTGTTCTTGGAATGGTTTTTATTTCTTTTTCTTTTGTTTTTGGCACATATTTAAACTTAGGCTCAGGTGCCTGGTACAGTCTACTTGTCACTTGCTTAGCAACAGAAGATATCTTCTTGTCTTTCTGATCCTTTAATCGTTCAGTATCCATATTGAAATCTTTTGAAATGTCACTTATTCCACTTTCGATTGAGTCAGCACTGGAGGATCTTCTAAGACGCCGTGACCTTGGTGAAAGCTGCTCCCCACAATCAGCTCCCTGAAAACAAAATGAAAATTATGCTTTATTATTATTCATTCATATAAAGATTGATTAGTCGTATTAAAGTATCATCAGTAATCATGTAATTTAAATGCAAACTTTCAAGCTGTATTGGTATAGGAAGATCAAAGATGCCCATTTGTTGTTTATTGTATTGTATTACTGAATAAATGGGTTACTGAGAAAAATCACAAACCATCTGAATGTAAGCTATAGAGATTCTCAACACAAAACAGCTAAACATCCCTTGTGAGCTTCAAACTCAAAAGGTGCAATTCATTTGCTCAGGAACCTTTATCACTTAGCCACAGATACTTTTATGAATCAAATAAACTTGTAACAATTTAGACTATCAGAGTTTGCTGTTTCATTTGATATGAAATTAAGTATGCATTCTATATTTTTGGAGGATACCCACATTAATCTGTACATCAATCCTTTTTACCTCTATAACAATGTCAATACCTGTATATCTAATAGACTAGTAGTTTTCTGTGAGAAATCCTGGTCTTGTATGCTAGGATCTAACAGGAACATTTCACTACATGCTGTACGTAGAGGCTGAGGTTTCTCTTCCCGCACATTACACAATTCCTGACTCTCCTGTATATAGACTTCTAACTGTACTTCCTGTTTCCGAATCTCTCGCACTTTTTCCGTCTGTAAAAAAGAAATTAAACTTTACCATATATATTCATTTCCAACAACAGTGCATTATAATTACCTCTCATATTAACCAAGAAATAAATTAAATTAAAATATTCAATTCTGAACAATAATTTAATGTTTCAGTTATCAATTTTGTTTATTATTCTTTACACATTATTGCATGCATCATACTGTTAATATATATGAAAAAACAATGTTCAGTCAAAAAATGAGTTTTTTCTTTAAAAATCAATTGTTGATAAAAAAAAAAAATATTGCAAATTAAAGAATCTGATGATAAAGTACAAGAAATACTATCCTATTTTAGTTTTTAAACATCTTATCAAAGTATTGTGTAAAAAAAAGTATTAAAATAAAAATATTTCTAAATATTTAACAAAATTTTCAAAATTTTAACCTTTCATAAAATATTCCAATGTTTACTCTAAGATAATAGACTGTAAAGATCACATACATTATCAATAAATGTCCAACATAAACTGGATCCCCCCTCTAGAGGGCATGACCTGTCTTTTAATACTTTTTCTTAAAAGCATTTCATTGTCATATATCACAACAAAATCCCCTATCTAATAATTGTATAAAAAAATCATAAATCTTTACAAAAAAATCAGAACAAGTCAATAGAAAGTGTTAAAAGTCAGAAATTCTTACATGGTTTTAATGTCATAAAGTTGAATTGGATTCTTTTTATTTCTTTAGGTTCTATTCAATGGACAATTAGCATGTTTTTAACAGTTTGAAATTATAGGCAGGGATTATGATCTCTTATGAAAGGGAGATAATACTATCACAGATTTACAAGTACAAAATTAATGTATTTTCATCACAATGCTTAAACAGATTAAAGAATAAGATTTGTATACAATTTACAGATTTAAAATAGAATATATATCAAGAGAAATGGTACATGTGAATGCATGTTACTTGCAATAATTACTAAAGGACACAATGTAAATTATACAAGGTTAGCTTTTAAAAAAGCTTGTAGCGACTCGCTTCGTAATTTTTTTCAAGGGGTGTGTTTAAATGTAAAAATGACAGTTCTGTTAGCTGAAGAGACTTCAGCGAACATCAAAATAAAAGTGAAGTCAAAACTGGCCCGGTGCCCGATGGCCAGTGTATATAAGTTCAGGCCAGTGTAAATTTAAGAAAGTTTTGTTAATTATTTAGTAGAATAAATTCAAAATTGGAATTCGGGCCAGTAAATTCAAAATCTTAAACTCATTGACTGAAAGTGACATATAAAGTTCTCGCAGTTTAACCAAGATGAGTATGAATATATATGAAGGTGCATGTAAACGGATTGAATGAAGAAACTATGTCTATGCACATTTACTATATGGCCTGTTGACCTTGGCCACAAAATGTTAGATAGGTAGATTTCATAAAGATGTCTCTTTATACAAAATTAAGTTGTAATACATGTATGTTATTTAGTATTGGAATGAGAGGCACAAGTCCTAAAGTAAACACAAGTTGTCAATCAATTCAGCCAGAAAAGCCGGGATCCTATTAAAAAATATAGGGATCCCGGAAATTGACCAGTCTAAGAAGATGTTTTTCAGATAAGCCGGGATCGTATTAAAATGTAAATAGATCTCACGGATTGGCCAGTTCAAGTATATAGTTTTCAGAAAAGCTGGGATCGTTTTAAAACATATAGGGATCCCGGGATTTGACCAATTCAAGAAAATAGTCTTTGATTTTTTTCCAATTGATTAGGCATATAATTATAAGTATTGTGATTTCCGCATTTTAAGTTTGTTAATAAATAGCTCTAAATATGTCTATATTCTAAGTTAAATTAATTTAACGTTCATTATATACAATAAAAAAATTAACGTTTAATGGCCTTCCATTACGACAACAATCAACACAAATATAGTTCATTAGGTTTTTCCTCCATATCTTATACGATCCCGGATCCCGGGCGTCCCGGATCCCGGCCAGTAAATACATACACTAAATACCGGAAAGGATAAAATGACCGGAAAAAAAGGAAAAATAAAAAATGCACAGAACCAGATGTATACTTATGTTAATTAACCAAACGAAAACTTACTACAGAGAAAACAGGTGAAATCGCTAAATCAGAAGTCAGTGTAAATATGATTTACTGAAAAGAATTCATAAAGACAAACATTTTAATCATCATCATATCTTTGCGCTCAAAACAATACTTGCTGATTTTTAAAAATGGCGTGAAAATTGAAGGTTTTTTGACGCTATGTAAGATTAAATTTGATTGGCTAAATAATTTTGGATCCTAGCCCTGATAGATAAATTTTGTAGAAAGCTGGAAGCCAAGCTTCGATTAAATTTTTGGATAGCTTCGGAGTTTTAGGTTGTTTCTCAGTAAAATCCTACCGTAATACCGGCTCGCCGTGGCGAGCCGGCATAATTTACATAATATTATGATATTTACAAGACATACAATTAATGCATTAACTAAGTAAAATGAATACCACCTATGTTTATGTAAATTATATGCAATTTGTTTATAAGAAATTAAGAGAAATTCAAGTCAAAATATATTGGTACATTGTATGAAGACCCACTACACTTGCAGAAGTTACAAAAGTTGAGATTTTGGGATCCTAGAATCAGACTTGAACGATCTTAGAGTGAGACCAGAACTAGTAAGAACCTAATATTTGTTTAAAGAAAGAGAAAGAGGTCTTAAGACTATTTAACAGTCATTCGTTTCACCATTAGTTTCAAAACCTACCTTTGGATAAAAATTCTGAAAATTTAACTAAGAATTACAATGAAAATGTCATAATTTCCATGAACTTACTGAATTATCTATAGTTTTATGCTATTTTTTGTAATACAAAAAGCTTATATATTAACATGACCATTATAATTTATTAACTGTGAAATAAAATTGAAATCCCCTTAAATTATATATCAACAACAAAAATTCTGAATTTCTGAAATTACCATCTAATTTTGATATATTCTATAAATAAACGTTGTCTCCCCTTTTCAGTCTTTTATTTTATCAAAACAGAACATTTGAAAAGTAATACAAGTAATCTTAAAAATAAATCAAGATAGTTTTTAGTGGGATCATTTTGAAACATTTGTATGTTTTTTTGTTTTTTTCACAGATAAACTATTATCATGGTCACATAATATCTATGTAAAAATCTAAGAAGAACAACATTCTAATCTAATAAATCTATAAATATCATTTATAAAGCATACAAAAATCTAAAATAAGAAAGTAAGCTTAAAATCTAAATACAATTTCAAGAGAACTACATTTTATTGGTGTACTAACTTGAACTTCCATTTCCTGCAGGTGTGCTTTGTCCACTTCCTTGTATTCCTCCTCCATCTTCTGTAGTTTGCGTAATTTGTCCTCTAACTGTGCCTGTGTTTGGAGGTAAGCGTCCTCCATGTCCTCTTGTTGTATAGCAAGACTTTCCTCGGTCTCCCTGTATGACATACGACGTGTAAACTCCGTCTGGGCAAGATCATCTAGCTGGTCATCTGCTGACACCCGTCTTCCTCCTGCAAACATTGTACAATGTTTATTTCAAGGTGTTCAAATTTTTATTTATCATAAATTCAAAGATTTTCCTACAGTATTAACTCTTTTCTAAATCTAGTTTGATGATCAAAATACCGGTAAACATATCATCTAAAAAAAAAATACATACACGTATAACAAAGTTTCAAAGCTTTCTACTTATTGAAATTTTTAAAATAAAAAGTGGCCAAAACACATATAAGGTGATAATATTGTTCAAACATGACAGCCTTTACTGGTAAAATTTGATTTAAATGCCCTTCTTTAAATCTAAGCATTAGCTATAGGTATAACCACAGATTTAATTCAAGCTATCTTGATGACTTTTTTATATCAATAAATTCATCGTCTACAACAGGACTCAAACTTATACAGTACTAAAACATAGGTAAAAAGATTACACAGTACTAAAACATAGGCAAGATACACAGTACTAAAACATAGGTAAAAGATCAAACAGTACTAAAACATAGGCAAGATACGCAGTACAAAAACATACGTAAAAGATTACACAGTACTAAAACATAGGCAAGAGATACACAGTACAAAAATTGATTGAAAAACTGGTGTTTAAAGAATTATTGATAAATTTTATAAGTTAAATCATAAATAAATAGGCAAACTAGTGGACTAGAAACATATGCACTTCATGGTAGTAATAATGTATCTAATGTATAGTTTTAAACAGGTATTAGGAAAGCAAAGTAAAATTGAAGAAAACATTAAAAGTATAATACATCACCTTAGTACAGTAACAGATTAAGTCCTTCTAAATTCAATAGGAGTTAACCAGTTATTGCACTAAGGTGACAAGTAACTTCTGATCAGAATTTTACCTTTGTATTTGACTGGTAAATCTGTTACAGTATCTGCATTATCCCCCTCAGTTGATGTGGTTGCTGTAGAGGATTGTTCCGACCCTGTTGAAACTGAGTGTGTGGAGAGAGGCTCGGACCCGACTGACATGGTCTGTGTGGAGAGAGGATCACAGCCTACTGAAGTGGACTCGTAAGATAATGGGTCTGTTTGTATTGCCATGGATTCTTGCTGCTCTTCTATTTTCTTAAGTGCTTTCAATGCCTTCCTTTCTTCCTCCAACTTTCTTTGAACTGACATAAAAGAATGGCATTTTTTTAAACATTTTTTAAACAAGTTCAGAATATTGTAGCATAGATGATCAAATAATAACTAACAAGATATAATTTCTCACAAGTCTAGCCTTCAAAATATTATATGATATCTGATTGCTAAAATAACCAAAAATCATTAAAAGCAACATTTACTGTGAGACCTGATGCTGTTTAAGAGTCAGACTTTACAAACATTTCTTACGTATTATTGGTTTTCTCCTATGCCCCCACGTTTTCTTTAAATTGCCTAACATCACATATTTGCTTCCAATTCAAGAGAATTCCATATGACCCCACCTAAGCAATGAGACTGTCTGGATGTCTACTGTTACGTAAATTAGAATGCTTAATAGAATGTTTAATTCTACATGTTATCTTCTATTTTGAATTGGCTGCTAATCACCTTATACATGTATCTATACTGTGTCTTAGCCTACATAGTTAAATTTGCAAAATATATTTGAAACCTCTATTAGTAAAGCATCTCTATTATCAGTGTATAACTAAACATTTTGTAACATGTGATCATGTATATGTTGACTTAAAGCTCTCTTATCCAGTTCAATAAGAAATGCCATGTTTGCCAAAAAAATTGTCTGTTTCACACAAAATATAAATAATTAAGTTTACTTTTGAAGCTCAAGACAAACATAGCAAAAATGTTAAGTACGGCAATAATACAGCTTTTGAGGCATCTTCTTATTTTCAATGAAATCAGAAAAAGATGTACTTACAAGCCTCCTTTTCTTTAGATAAACTTTCTCTTGCTAGTCGTAATTCTTCTTCAGCTTTTGCACGTTCTCTTTCATTTTCTTCTTTTAATCTCAACAGGTGGCGCTTCTGATCCTCGATATCTGCACGGTGCTGCTCGTGTGTCATATACATCTCCTCTTCCTTTAGTTGACGTAACTCCTCGGCCCGCTCATGTTCAGCTTTAAGTCGCTCCAGTTCTTTACTAAAAAATATAAATTGTAACTTTATATATTTGTTTAAACAGAAGATTTTTTAGTCTGAATGTGTAGGAAGGTATAAGCTTATAGACAGAGTCTTGAATCCGTTCCTGGAACCAACCAGTCCTGAGCAATAAGAGTTAAGTTTCAATCTTGCTAAAGTAAACAACCGCTTGCCTCTGACTGGGTTTGAACCTTAGATTACTAGTCTGACATGTTAACCACCCAGCCATGCTGCCACCATTATAATGAGAAAGATACAATCTTTTGCTTTTCAGGGGCAGACTATTATTGCATATTCACATCCTTCAGATCTTTCTCTAAATGATATGACAAAAAAAGTATTTGGCATTCGAACGAACCATATATATATATATATATATATGTAGTCACATAACCCTGTTCAAGGTTATACAGTGACTTTCCAACTTTTCTCATAGGAGATTTCATTACCTATCTATGCATTATTTCAGATATAAAATAATTTAATATATGCTATCTGCCCATGAATTATTTCAGACATCAGCAATCTAAATACTTAATATTTTATAGTTCTGTGATAACAACGGAAACATTCTCATCACAGACTAACATGGACTTGTATAGATATTTGTATGCCTTGTGCCATAAAAAGGTTGATTTTATCTCAGCTTAAAGTTCAGACAACTCTCTGGAGGTTTTCTAAAGTTCAGATGAAAACAAACAAGATTTTTATATGTAGTTGGCATTTCAGAGGAACAGACATTCGGATGTTAACATTTACTCAATAGCATCATTCTGCATTTTCATTTTTTTATGAAAACATTTCTGTCCGAATGTAAATAGATACTGTCAAAATGATTCCATTTTTTGTTTGTTTTTTGTTTCGTTGTTTTTCAATAACTTAATTAGCAAGCAATCATAATGTACAATATATATACTTAACCACATCCCTCAGCTCTTTCCAATATAAACCATGATATTATGCATTTCCAGTATAAACCATGATATCATATATTTTTCAATAAAAACCATGATATCATATATTTCCAGCATAAACCATATCATATATTTTCAATATAAACCATGATATCATATATTTCCAGCATAAACCATGATATCATATATTTCCAATATAAACCATGATATAATATATTTCCAGCATAAACCATGATATCATATATTTCCAATACAAACCATGATACCATATATTTCCAATACAAACCATGATATCATAAATTTCCAATACATACCATGGAATTAAAGGTTACCAATGCACATACTGTAAAATCATACATTTCTTAGTAACAGTTTCAAATATATACTGTAAAATCATGCAATCCAATACTAACCATGGAATCCAAAGTTTCTATTACAAACCATGAAATAACAAGTTACCAATATAAACCATAAATTTGAACATTTCCAATACAAACCATGAAATATGCATTTCAAAAACAAATTATGGAATCAAATGTTTCAATAACAAACCATGAAATCAAATACATTTCCAATACAAACCATAGAATCATATATCATGAGTTATGAACCATAAAATCATAAGTCACCAATACAAGCAATATGAACCATTAAATTATACTATTCCAATACTCATACATGTTAACAACTACTTTTAGCGAGAGACGCCCACTTTCTGCAGCCATATTTTCAAGATTTTTCTTAAAATAAGGGGTATTTTCACAAATTAAAGAAATCTCCCTATTTTTGATGTCAGTTTATCACAAATTCTTAAGTCTCCCTCTTTTTAAGAAAAATATTCCACTTGATAATCGAAAAAAAATAACAATTATAAATACTTAACACAAAAAATTCAATTTTTCAGAAGAATATTCTGAGAATTTAAAACGACTCCTTTACTAATCATTATATTATAAAACATAAAGAAAATATCATAAAGAGTGAAAGAAACAGAAAAGTTGTAATAATTATCACATTTGAGACAAAAATTATATAATGCTTCTAAAAGTAACGGAAATATTTCCAGAAAACCAATATATTAGTAACCAACAGATAAGATACGAAGCTGCCAGAGCGTTATTTGTATTTAATCAACCACAAAATAGCTGGGTGCCTAATCAATATCATTAGATGCTTAATAAATCAATAGAACCAATCAACTCTTGTACCACCATCTCAAAATTACATCTAAACTTCTCTAATACTTCCCGTTCAATTATTGATGTGTTTCATCACTAATACATCATAGTTGTGTCAAAACAAGCTTATATAATATCACTGTATTCCATCAAAATATCCCTCTGATCTTAGATCATATTATTCCTATGAATAACATAACAGATTACTGTGATCTTATATCATATTGTACCACTAGATTACATAACAGGTTACTGTGATCTTAGATCATATTGAACCACATGATTACATAACAGGTTACTGTGATCTTAGACCATATTGTACCACTATATTACATAACAGGTCACTGTGATCTTAGATCATATTGTACCACTATATTATGTAACAGGTCACTGTAATCTTTGATCATATTGTACCACTAGATTACATAACATGTAACTGTGATCTAGATCATATTGTACCACTAGATTACATAACATGTAACTGTGATCTTAGATCATATTGTACCACTAGATTACATAACAGGTGACTGTGCTCTTAGATCATATTGTACCACTAGATCGCATAACAGGTAACTGTGCTCTTAGATCATATTGTACCACTAGATCGCATAACAGGTAACTGTGCTCTTAGATCATATTGTACCACTAGATCGCATAACAGGTAACTGTGCTCTTAGATCATATTGTACCACTAGATCGCATAACAGGTAACTGTGCTCTTAGATCATATTGTACCACTAGATCGCATAACAGGTAACTGTGATCTTAGATCATATTGTACCACTAGATCGCATAACAGGTAACTGTGATCTTAGATCATATTGTACCACTAGATCGCATAACAGGTAACTGTGATCTTAGATCATATTGTACCACTAGATCGCATAACAGGTAACTGTGATCTTAGATCATATTGTACCACTAGATCTCATAACAGGTAACTGTGCTCTTAGATCATATTGTACCACTAGATCGCATAACAGGTAACTGTGATCTTAGATCATATTGTACCACTAGATCGCAGAACAGATTACTGTAATCTTAGATCATATTGTACCACTAGATCACATAACAGATTTCTGTGCTCTTAGATCATACTGTACCATGAGATAACATAACATCTTACTGTAATCTTAGATCATATTGTACCACAAGATTACATAACAGGTAACTGTGATCTTAGATCATATTGTACCACTAGATTACATAACAGGTTACTGTTATCTATAATCATATTACATCACTAGATTACATACCACTATATTACGTAACAGGTTACTGTGATCTTCAATCATATTTTACCCATATATCATAATAACAAGGTAACTGTGATCTACAATTATATAGTACCACTAGATAACACAAGTAGAGATTTTGATGCTAAAGCATCAAGTCGCCGGATAGAAAATGACTGTATTATCATAAATATAAAAAAAATCAGTTTAATTAATGGTTCAGGTATAAAGAAAAGAGGAACAATTTATGCTGAGTAACTGTTTATTCACAATAAAACATCATATATGAAGCAAACTTGCTTAGCAATATTGTGAAGGAACTGCTATGATTATTAAGCAAGTATTTTGTACGTTAGTTTACGTAACTTATTATGATTTATGCTAAAGATTTTATTGATAGTATAGATCTTGATATTAAATTAATTAATATTGCTCAATGGCCTACAGGTGGTAAGTATAGGACGAAGTTGTGACCTAGTAGGCCAAATTCGATTCTTTGAAAATCCCTTTTGCAGTTTTCATAAAACTATTTTTTTGCGCTATCGAAAAAATAAGCTATTTAGTTGAAATCAATATTCCTGTCGTTACATACGATATAGTTAACGTTTAATTGCCTTTCAGTTCGATAAAATATTAACAACTAGAAATGTGTCCATAGGACACGGGTGCCCCCACCGCGCCACTGTTTTGTCAATCTTTTTACTAAGTCAAGGGAAATAACTCTACAAATACTGGATAAATCCACAAGCGAAACCCAAGGTGCAAATCTAAATATGCTGAGCAACCTGCCCATAAGGTTTAATTAATGACTATGTCAAATCCTTTTTGAGTAACTTGCGACACAAGTTGAAAATTGCAAAAATTTTCTAAGTGAAGGGCAATAACTCTAAAAATACTAAATAAATCCAGACGAAAATATCTGATGCACAACTGCACATGCTGATCAACATTCCTGTAAAGTTTCATGACTCCAGGTCAAATACTTTTTGAGTTACATGCGACACAAGTTGAAAATTGCAAAATTTTACTAAGTCAAGGGCAATAACTCTTGAAAATACTAAAAATATCCAGACCTAAATACCCAGGTGCACAACAACACATGCTGATCAAGATTCCTGTAAAGTTTCATCACTCTAGGTCAAATACTTTTTGAGTTACATGCGACACAAGTTGAAAATTGCAAAATTTTACTAAGTCAAGGGCAATAACTCTACAAATACTGAAAATATCCAGACGAAAATACCCAGGTGCACAACTACACATGCTGATCAACATTTCTGTAAAGTTTCATGACTCCAGGTCAAATACTTTTTGAGTAACATGCGACACAAGTTGAAAATTGCAAAATTTTACTAAGTCAAGGGCAATAACTCTGAAAATACTAAAAATATCCAGACGAAAATACCCAGGTGCACAACAACACATGCTGATCAAGATTCCTGTAAAGTTTCATGACTCTAGGTCAAATACTTTTTGAGTTACATGCGACACAAGTTGAAAATTGCAAAATTTTACTAAGTCAAGGGCAATAACTCTGAAAATACTAAAAATATCCAGACGAAAATACCCAGGTGCACAACTACACATGCTGATCAACATTCCTGTAAAGTTTCATGACTCTAGGTCAAATACTTTTTGAGTTACATGCGACACAAGTTGAAAATTGCAAAATTT